TATATAAAATAAAATTCTAAACCGTAAGTTTTAAAGTTAAGGTCATTAGCTATCAAAATTACGGTGTACTTTTTTTTTAAAATTTTTTTTGGGTGATCTACACCCTTTAAAAAAAGGCAACATTTGTTCCTATTATAGAGCTTCTGCACTGTACTTTTAATGAAATATTTGCTTTTTCATACAAATGTTCTTTTAATGCACAATATAATTCGACCTGCCAAAGTCTTTCTAATATTTTTTTACCATCTTTTGACTTTCCATGGCTATTTAAAAAAGCATTTGAATCAATTTTTGATAGTGCTTCTTTGATTAATTCACATAATGTGAATCCATCATCATTTTTTTCATCATATAAAGGTGTTGATGATGGTTCTGTTGGTGTTGATGATGGTTCTGTTGGTGTTAATGATGATTCTGTTAGTATTGATGATGATTTTGTTGGTGTTGATGGTGATTCAGTTTGTGATGATTCAGATGCTGATGGTGATGATGGTTCAAATGACGATAATTGTAAAAGGACATTTTTCTATTATTAGATAAAAACTATTAAGTAATTTTCTTTAAAAAAAATTTAATGTTTATATTGATTGCTTTTCAGTAAATAACCAAGCCATAAACATGGGTTGGTCACCAAGCCATAAATATGGATCAGTTCTCAACAAATTGAAGCCATAATAGGGTCAACAGTCATCATTAATAAGAATGATTTTTTTTTTTTCATCACTGTATAATTATATAATTAATATATATATTAACAAAAAAACTAACTTTTTTAAATTCTTGTGCAGCACTTTTGTTGGCGTCACTTTCATTTTCATCTTTTATAATATTTCCTATTTGTCTTTTATAATGAATATTTATTTCACTATAATCATCATATCCAAGTATTTTCATAAAAGAACAGAAAGATTTGAAATCCCATTCACTATGTGGCTTGAATTTAAAATAGTTTCTCATAAATATGCCAACACCCATTTTTTATTGTAACAAGTAAATCATTTGAAAATTTAGAATAGAGATAGAACATTACCAGACACATTCATAATATTATTTCTTTGTTTTAGATGAATAGATAGATGGATAAGATGGATATAAATAAGTTAGTGTACTGTACCACACTGAATTCTAAATATAGTAATTTTGATATTGACCATTATTTTTCGTTTATAACCAAGAATCTAGGTCTTGAACTTGGGGATGATTGCTATGCAGCAAGGATGCAAAATGAATTTTCAAAGACAATTTTCATATAAAAAATTGGTTGTAATTGATGAAAGCTATCATGACTACTTAGTATTAGTATTAGGGAGTTTCTCATTAATATTGTCACCAATTATTGTTTGGGAGAGCATGTTAATTGATGATAACAATATAAAATTTATGATTATGTGAATCAGAATGAATTGGCTACTAATGAATTAGTTTTATTAGTGAATAATTTTGGTTTAGTGATTTAAGAAAAACATTTTATTTAGTCGAAACTAATTTATTAACTTATTACTAAGTTAACTTTAAAACTTTATTACAATGTTAAAGTTATTTTACAAGCAAGTCAAATTTGAGCTTCTTTTATACAATTAAATTAATTAGTAACAACTTCATTGCAATCTAACATTCTAGCCACAATACCGCACTTTAATTGTGACGTAACATTCTAACTGCGATCAGTGTTCGAAATTCGACTGCGCCTTTACATAAACTAATCTAATTTTAGAAATTATCTGCGGTTAATTTCCATATTT